TATATATAGATGGAGTGTCAAGAAGGGATTGATTTTTTTTTTTTTTTTTAATAGAGATTTTGATCTAATCATATCCCAACACATTATGCGTATGTACTCTAATCTGTAAGTGGTGATGCATATGTAATACAATCATTGACGCAAATGTCTTTATCATTTGACTACACTATACAAATCGTTTTAAATTTGACATTTAAACCTTCGGATCGACAACTCTTTGTGCAAACCATCCTTTTCGTTTTGTTCACTCCATTTATTGTGTTAAATATATGCATGCTTTGCACATATCATGAAAAATTGGTTCCATCTAGAAAGAAATTAGAAAAAAATTCCAATAGAAAGAGTGAAAGAGCAGTTCCCATTATGCAAATGAACCTGCTCACATTCATACAGCATGGACGTTAATTAGCACAATGACAAGGACAATCTACGAATGAATAAACTAAGATATGATTGAAATGAAAGGGGAGATTTATTTGGTTTACAACTACCTCACAACTAATCTTTTTCTCTTTTAACACATTTTAAGAAAAGAAAATTTAACGATGATGACTTGTACATATAGGTCAAGCACATAGGATAGAAAATTCGGTACTAATTCTAGAATGTTACAACATCGTCAAGCATAAAATATTGACCTTATAAAGTAATATCATGTCACTATTTGTACTAAACGTTGCATACGCTTATATTAATCCTTATTTTTGTCTTATACCATCTGTCAAATATATCTTAAGTGAGTAACTGTTTTAGACTTATCTATCGATTTAGTCTTGCTTAAAAGCACTTATTTATTTCTTTTCATCTTAAAGATGGATTCTGATGAAGTGCATAAGGGATTAGAGTTTATGATGAAATGGGATCGTCGCAAGGCAAAATAATGCTTTTTTTTTTTTAATTTCATGATAACTTCGGGTTGGTTCGTTTTTGGCGAATTGCTAGTCTAATTCGATCAGAATCGAGTCAATGAATAAAACTCAGCGCCTTTAGCCCTGATGCAAGGCCAATTTTGGGCAAAATCCACCGTTTAGGCCCTCATTTAGGCGTTTTTATTGTTTATGGTAATTTTTGTTTTTGCAATATCTTTTTCTATAAAATTCGGATTTCTATTTCGTTTGTTGGGGGATGATCCTAAAAATAAGGATTTTTCATCTTAGTAGTTATCTCATATTTTTCTATTTTTGAAAAAATATCTTTTTATTCTATTTTTCGAATTTTGCTAGGTTTTTTTTCTATTTAAGGCGTTATAAGCCCTTTGAGACTTCAGTTATTGAATTCAATAAAATTTTCCTTGAGAGTTTTCTCATTTTGTGATTGTTCATCTTCCGCTACGTCAGTTGGTATCAGAGTCAAAATCGTTCCTTCACCATGCCGCCAAGGAGACGTCCTGAAGCCCGTGATGCCCCGGTAGAGGAGGTACATAGACGTGATGAAATCGCATAGTTAAGTCAGCAAGTGGAATTGCTGACACAGCAGATCGCTGTGCTTATGCCGCAGCAACCTGCGCTTGCAGCCCAACATTTTGAGGATTCCGATGATGAGAATCCGTTTGCACCACTTGAACAACCATTGGATCTGCCAGTACGCAGGAGAAGGGGTGATCAGGAAGACAACCGACATTGAGAATCAGGATTTAAGGTTGATATTCCAGAATTTCATGGTGGGTTGAGTCCAGAGGAATTCTTGGATCGGGTGATTGCAGTGGATGAGATCTTGGAGTTTAAATGGGTTCCTGTCAATAAATGTGTGCCTCTCGTTGCGACGAGGCTCCGTAGGCGAGCAGCGGCGTGGTGGCAGCAGACTAAAGTGATGAGATCCAGGCTAGGAAAACCCAAGCTTGCATCGTGGGACAAATTAAAGAAGCATATGAAGAAACAGTTTTCGCCTTACAAGTATGTGCAGGCCATGTACCAACAACTGCAGAATCTGCGTCAAGGTGGGAAAATGGTTAGTGATTATACCATGAATTTTTATATGTTGGTTACGAGGAACGAGATGATGGAGACGGAGGAGCAGTTGGTGTCACGGTACGTGGGTGGTCTTTGTCCCCAAATACAGGATACTCTCAATATGTTTGATCCTGTGACAGTTTCTGAAGCACATCAGAGGGCAATACAGATAGAGAAGCAACAGTCTACGAGAACTACTAGTCCTTTCATTGTAGGGAGTTCTTCCAGTAACCCACAATAGCAGGTGACACGTCCTGGTAATCCTACTCAATCTGGTCATCCTAGAACAAATCCTGTCCAACAACTAACACGTCCTGGGGTTGGTATTCATTGTTTTGGATGCGGAATTACAGGCCATAGGCAGTCTGAGTGCCCCAAAAATCCGCGCAAGGGACCCTTTGTGGATGAGGAGAATGACGATTATGAAGGTCCACATGTATTTGACAGTGAAGGCGTAGAAGATGCAACAGAAGAGAAAGAGTTTGTGGTTGGTGATGTGGGTTAGGCACTGGTGGTGAGGAGGAGTTTCCTGACTCCCTTGGAGACTAACACTAATTGGTTGCGTAACAATATCTTTCAATCGACATGTACTGTTGGAGGGAAGGTATGTAAATTTGTTATTGATTCTAGTAGTTGCGAGAATGTGGTAGCTGAGGAGGTCTTTAAGAAGTTGGGTTTGCAGACTGAGAAACATCCCAAACCGTACAAATTAACCTGGCTGAAGAGAGGCAATGACGTAGAAGTGTCTCAACGTGCTCGAATCAGCTTCTCAATTGGACCTACCTACAAAGATCAGGTTTTATGTGATGTAGTAGAGATGGATGTGTGTCATTTACTGTTAGGGAGGTTGTGGCAGTTTGATAGGCACTCGTTGCATGATGGATATACCAACACGTACAGCTTTCTGTTTGGGGGAAAGAAAATTGTATTAC